ATTATTATATAAAATAGCGGCAGGAATTCCATAAAATATGTCCAACAAAAAATGATTTAAATTCCCAGTTACACGTCGTCGTTAATTTGCATTCTAATTCGCGGGACGCGTTTCATCTCTTTAGACTCGTGTTTCGTTCACGGATAAAACAGAAACTGAGACGTCGCCTTCTCTTCCTCTTTTCCATTCTCTCTGCTATACTTATACACACTGTGAGTTAAACGGTTACTCGGTTATTACTTTACTTAACCCTCCGTTACCATCGGCCCACGGGGAAAAGCCACGTCGGTTTCAAAAGCAAACGAATTATTCTCTTTTCCTCCTACCTTTCTCTTCGTTGTTTTATTCGAGCTGGCATTCGGCTCGCGCACACAATTCTCTACATATGTACGAATTCGACGTTAATTATCGCGCGTAACGGTCCATGCTTCTGTCTTGTCTCGTTATTCTTCGTCTGGGATTATATGGACAGTTGCGGGGAACATCGTTATTCCGAGACGAATGTTCCAACGTATATAGAATAATAGAACGAGCTTTTTTTTTATTTCCTAAAAGTTTTGGCAAAATTATAATTGGGATCGAATTTCCTATAGATATGTTACATGATTTTTAAATATCGACAACAAATCCGGAACAGAGATCGTATACGAAAGAGGAAATTCTTCGTTTTAAAACGATACGTAGAATGATTTACAAGAAGATACTAATATTTCCTGTTGGAAAACTTTAAATTTTTCTACTCTGTTAATAATACTTATAAAAACGTTGTTATCTATTAGATTGTCCGGAAAGTTTCTTTCGTTTTATGAGGAAATAATAGAAGCGCGAGGTTTTTTGTTTTATATTATTTTGTCGATCGATCGATTTTGTTCTGTTGAGATAAACACCGCGACATTTCATAGACTTGCTTTCACCTTTGTACGAAGGTGCACTGTTGTAAAAAACACGTTTGCGAAAGAGAGACGCTTTTCGGACAATCTAATATTTTGAATTTTAATACGATGTTGCTAAATTTCGACAATTATTCGTTTAATAAACTGTCGACGATCGAATGAAGAGTGAGCGAAACCAATTACAGGTAATTTGAACTACGGTTGACTTAGATGCAACTATAGTTAAAGTTAAACCGACTACCTCAGATTGTCTTTCGGTACACTTTGCACAGGTCGACCAGTGTGTTGATCAGTTCGTTTATTTCTGTTTAGTTAGGTGCTCTTTAAGTGAATTTTGAGAGTACGAGATTCTCGACCTGCCTGCTACGAGATAGTAGAGTTTCAACAAAAATGAATAAAATATTCCATCGATAGAAATTCGTTTACGTTCGCAAAGAAATTTTTAATTAAAAGCGACACTTTACGTTCCGAACCACGTGATAGAAGAAAGTATTGTAAAGAACTAGAATCATCAAACCTCTTTCAGGACTGAAACGAATAAAATTACAATTTTAGCGAATACCAAGAAAACAGGAAGAGACATATTAAATTTTCTATCATTTGGTAATATCGAGGAAAAATGCTGTATTGAAAAATAAGGGATGTGCCAATACCTTTCGTAGCAGCTGTATACGAAGCAGCGTATCTTGCAGAAACAATTTCATCTTTTAACCTCCAAAAATTCTATCCGCCTAAAACTCTGACAAGTACGAAGGAAACAAGAAGACTCCGGAAAGTCAACTTTCCACGTCAACTATATATGGTAAAGATACTTATCCCGCGAACTGGGTCAATTAGAGGGTGGCCCGCGAAAAACAGCCGAGGGCGACGCCCGCTTTTAGGGCGGTTCGTTTAAAGAGAAAGAGAAAAATGATTCTGGACCAAGAAAACAACAGAGGGAAGCTTCATGAAGAAAGCATGTAGTTCAGAGTGACATTATTTACAAGATCCTGGAATAAGACGAAAAATATGGTACAAGAGACATTTACGTAATTGCTTGAAGATAATGCACAGGATCAGGATTGTATGTATAATACATAAGACAAATGTTTACGACGTAATAAATATATTGTACGAGAAGTTGAATCAGCGAGAAAAAGTGTGGATTGTAGAAGGGATTAACTTTTTTTCTATTGTCGTTGCGTAAGTATTCGGATACTTTGATAGATTTGCAGCGACGATTAGAGAAATTTATTTTAATCGAGAAACTCGAAGGAAGGTAATAAGGTCATTACGACGAAGGTAAACATTTTTATTTCTAAAAATCATGCAATCGTTTTAAGAGAAAGATTTCGATTTATGCGCTTTAATCAATTTGTCAAAAAATATTGTTTAGCTTTAAAATCAAATAAAATTTTCTTGCAAGAGCATCTTTTTCCGTCGCGGAGAAAACGTCTCGTTGGTCGGTTTACAGGAGCCAGTCGAAACGGCTGAGAAACGATGCTCGACAGCAGTTTCAGCCGCTGGTAAACGCAAAAACGATAAGAAACAGGAGTAGTTCTTGCGATCAAAGCCGCCCTTTGCGCCTTTTTGGGTTTGAAGGGTCAACTTTTGACCCGGAATTCAAAGAGACACTCGGTTCGCTGGATAGACGGATTCTGTCTGTTCTTGTTTCTTGTTTACCGTCCGTGGCTTTTGATATCGCGGATTGGAGATCCTGCAAAACCTTTAGACATCTCACTGAAGAAAAACGTCAAATTTTACTTTGTCGATTTATAGATATCGGTGGCTGCAAGTTGTTCCATCGCGAGGACGTTTAATTAAGTTGCGATGGGTTTCTCTGCCTTTCATAGCTACTTTCAACGATCTCTGCCTTTTACGGTTGCTTTTAAAGGAATAATGAGTTTAAATGTGAAAGTAAGGTTAAGAGATACAGTAGCTTAGAGATGCTGCTTAAGGATGTTTTTAATTCCAGAGTAGTTGAAGAACATGTATTTGAATTTCTTGTAAGAACGAATTTTGTATACTAACATGTCTTGAGTTCGTACAGTTTCCGTAGCTTTATAATGAAATTAACCGTTTAAAGTAAGATATGAACTGTCAATTACATCTTAAAAATCGATAAGTCAAATAAAATTTTCAATATTCGACTCGTCCAAAAGCTTTCGAAATATTCCATCGATCCTTTCTATCAAAAATTCTTTTTGTTTTTCTAACACCCGTTCTGTATCAAACGCGTTCCATGGCCATTCATCAATATTCCTTGTGTCCGTTCATATTTTGCTTTGAAGTTTCCATATTCTCCCTCCAGTGAAAAATATCTGGCTACTTTGGGATTGAATCACATCCAAGAATCCGACGATTCCACGATCCGAATCCAACGAAGAACCATTCGACTTTTCCCGTCCGTTTGATCGATATGGCTTTTGTAACCGAAGACTCACTGATCCGTAAGCTCCTTATTACTTCCATATAGAGCGTTTCACGGACGTAAGTAGCTCGACATTAGAAGCAGACCCTTTGAACCGTGCAATTAGGAGAAGGCAGACATTCATGTACTTCCTGGATTCATCTTTAACTTATCTCATATATTTTGCCGTCAAGTGGTCGATCCGTATACTCCTTTCGCGGATCTTTTGCGAATTTAATATCCTCCAACTTTTCTCGAATATAATACTACAAATGATGAATTTTTCAAATTGAATAACGAAGTTCCTTTCTGTCCAATTACGTGCCCGATTTGAATATACTATATTCTTAATCTCTCTATTTGTGATTTCATGATATATTAAAACCCCTCTTACAGCTATCTCTAGGATTTTTCTCAGAAAGGAAGGAAAAATTTCTCCGTAGGAACTCTAGTCTTTTCAACTATGCCCGAGCGCTCTTTACTATTAATTCACTAATTATGCCGTCAATTTATGCATCCATGAACGAAATTCTCGAAAGATCATCCTTATTAAGCGTCCGTTCACGAAACGACCTCCGCTGAGAAATACGTTATACGGCGGCAAAGAGAAACGACGAAACTGGAGGCAGAAAAAGAGAGAAAAAGGAAAAGGCACGGTCCAGGAGAGCGTTATTCTCAGGCGTGCAACTGATATGAATAATTAATGCGGTGTGTTCGTTCGGGGATGCGCGTCCTCCAGGGCGAGAAGAAGCGTTACCCGTACCGTGAAGAAAAAGAAAAGCGTAACGCGCGGGCTAATTGTCCTATTTAAATTTCATACGACGCGACCGCGTCGTGTATTTGCAATTGAAATTATTTTATTGCATAGGGAACGATACATGGGAACCAAGCGGCGCTGACCCCGTTGTCACTGACCGCTGAGAAAATTAATTCGAATTCTCTTATCGTAGAGGATTCCTTCTGAATCTTGGCATGGTAGATGGTTCACTCGGGAAATAAATAAAAATGCAAGAAATAATGCTCTAAGTCATGTAGGAAGGGAATGATGGAGGTTGAAACATACGAGGCGAACGAAATGGCGGAGCGAAGTAGTTGGAGAATAAAATGAAAAAAATTTCGATTATTTACGAGACTATATTAACATTTATTTATATATATATTTTTCTATATAACATTTTTAGCTTTTTCTATTAAGTTATTAATGAAAATGTTGATTAATTTGAAAAATGAATGTCAAGCGAAATTAGAAGGTAGATTTTTTTTATAATCGCGTTCCGTAAAGGACTTTCTATTCGATTATTCACCGAGTACAATAAGACACTCTGTAAGTGAAGGAATCGATTACCAGTCTGAAGCTAACTTAACAGGAATTTCAAAGGGAAATCCTTTGGTGGCGACTGCTAGGGCCGCGACCACATCAAGGAGAAGCGTCAATGGACTGAAAGGTATAGTTCACCAATACCCACGTAAATGAGTACTTTAATTGATGAAGTAGATCAAATAAATCTTTCGTTTGAAAGAACATCGTCCTTTCGATGCTTCCTTGTAACACATAACTTAAACTTTGCTATACTTGGCTATACTTTGCTATATTTAGATCAGAAAATTAAATACAGTTTTTAATTATAATTAAACAATAAAAGAACGCTCTTGTTTCGTCAAACGATTTGAAATTTCGTAAAAAGTTTGCTGCGAAGTGATTTTGCAATTCAACTACAGAATTTTATTCGCTTGTAAATCTCGTCATCGAACTATTTTCGACACCTGCATAACACAACCAACCTGCAAGCAGCCATTTTAATCGCAACCACCACTTTCACTATAATTCCTGCAATCCCTACAAACCTTCCCATCACGTTTCCCTACCATCCAAATTCAATGTCTACCCTGTTTCTAACATACGATTCTCAGAGTGCAAGAGCTCCTTCAACACGCCCCTCGAAATCTTCTAAGCACTTCCTCTCGCGACATCCGCAAGCTCGCGATACGCAACCTAGTTCTCGCCTGGAATAAACTTAACCATCCGTCAAAATCAGGTGGAGCAGACGAAATTAAGCTAATTTCGAGTAGATTCGAGAAATAGAAAAATGAAGAAAATAGGAAAGAGGAAAAGGAAATAGGAAAGAGATACGTTTTGACTCTGGCGAAGTCGCGAGTCGAGGCAGCCAGTAGCTAACGAACGACTGTAAAAAAACGAGACGTGGCGCGAGTTCGAAGCTTCCTGGCACGAAAACCAGCTTCTCTATCGTCGACCGACGCTTCACAAGCTACCACTGACTCGGCGTTAATTGACATTTCGCCCACCAGATAAGCCATACCCGCCACTCTTTGTTGTCCTAATCACGAGACCGACTACGTCGTTGGTCACGGCCCTCTTTTATTCGCGACTTCGTTTATTATGCTAATTGTCCTCGCCGAGTGGTTTCTCTCTCAGAAAAAATCAGCTGGCTTTCCTGGCTGGTTTCAAACTCATTTTTTCCATTCTCGGTATCTCTTCGCGCTGTCATCGCGGTTGTCTTGCCAGGTTTCGGTGTACTTTCATTTCTGTGACGTGCGTTAAAGATTCTGTCAAATGCAGATGACGCGACAGCGTGATTGAAGTATCTCGAAACTCGCTTCTTTTACTATTATTTATTATAATTATTCGTATAAATTATTCGTATACTACAAATTCCTTTCCAAGTATTCGAGTTGTTTCTTTTCCTATGGATATCTATCTGAATCGTTTCGATGACTTCGCATAAGTTTCACGAGGAAAAAGTCAATTCACGTTCGTCGAGAGCATCGAAGATAGTTGGACGACTATCGCAGGACAAACATCCTAACAACACCAATAGAAATCGAGTGAAACGCAACTTTCTCGTTTCGCGGAAGTTATTGCTGCGACCATGGATCGCGAGAACATTGTAATTCGAGCGTTCCCTTGGTGGAAAACCATGTAGAAGCGATGGCAGATGAACTCAATTTGCGGTATCAGCAGCAACGAATCGATTGTTCTACTTCTATCGGACTCTTCCGCCGCTTTTTCACCCCGGACATCCTATATATTGTTGATTACAAGTGCTAAAAAGAATTTTCCCCGAGCTGCATGGAAAATGCAAAATATCAAGTTCCATGGATTATCAAATGTCAAACTAGAAATCATAAAGATTGTACGAAAACATCGAAAGCAATTTTTAAAAGAGTTTCAAGTTGTAAAACGAAAATCCTACAAACTGTAAAAAGGACAAATCCTAGTTTGAAGAGAAGCCAAATTTCAAGATCGCGAAACGTATACAGAGAAATATGAAAGTTAATTTTTCAGAAATTTCCAAGCTAAATTCGGAGAACGAAAATAAAAAGAACGAAATTGACTTTCTTAGAAAATAGCAGGCTCCGCGATAAAAATTCTAATCGACGTTTATACGGGCGTTTCCTGCGAACGCATACGACCCGACGTAATTGCGTTTGACCGTTGTTTATGATCAAGTAGTTACGTTTAAACACCGAAACGAGATATCGCCAGAGGCGGAAAAAGTGATCAGTCGGTATTAGAATCTCATTTCCGCTTGATGTCCTAAACAATGCGGTTCGAGTTTCACAGAGAATGGACACTCAAATTACCGGGTGTCACACAGAGCTATCATAGACGTATAATAGAGGGTCTTGTCTTGCATGATATAGCCTCGCGTGCTTTTCACTGGTAACGCGTGTCGATATTTCCGCCGCTTGATCTCGCGATCCGAGCCATAAATTAATCTCACTTATTCAACGCTCGTGTAACTCTGTGATCCAACAAAATCAAGAATATAAATTCTCATAAAATCGTATTCTACGTTTCTTAGCCTTTCGATATAAATTTCTATGGCAGTTGTATATCAAGTATTTCTGCAAAAATGTCTAAAGTCAATCTCTCTTCCTACATATTGGTAGAATTTTAATTGTTCTATTTAAAGACAATTCAAACTGTTCTTACCGCAAATGAACATAATCGCTGTTCTGTTTGAACTTTCGTCAACTACCATGCTATTATTACTTGATCAACTGCTACACTATTACAAGTAATCTACCATTGTGTCGGTCGCAATCCAACTATTACAACTTCCAACAATTCTCAACAGCTAACAAAGGAACCTGAATGATTAATTTCACTCGTATAAACAGAATAATAATGCAATTAAAGTACGATAAATAACGCCAACCAAATGAATATATTTTATTCGAGTATTTCTCCAGGGAGCGCGTAATTCCTTCTCGATAAATTCATCCGGCGTTCGCACGCGACACCAGAATTTATCTTTTTCTCACCGATGATGCGTTTAATCAGGCATCGGCCATAATACGAATCGTTAAATTTATTTTCACGCATATGATTTAATTGCACGTGAACCAGATCGACGTTATCGTCGCCCCGCAGCTCCGTTCATGCGATATTCCTATCCACAACGCGAATTCCCTTCGTGTATTTTTGCTAATTAATTTCCGTTTGTTCAGGAAACACCGCACTTTTATTCACTGTATCTCCACACTTTGCATATTTTCGTAGCCGTATATTAAAATGCCCTTCTTTATCCTGACCGTGCAATTTTTTCTTTCTCTCCCACTTTTTTCCTTTTACTTCTTTTATTCTGGCTTTATAAGCGAAAAGTATCGAAAACGTTATATCAGCTTGTTAATTATGTATCTTTGTTCGACGTTTATGGAACATGAATTGTGGTATTTTAAATTTTTCGGAGAGGAAATTATCGGTAATAAAAGATCGTAAAAAAATTTGTAACAGTTATGAAGCTTCGATGATATAATCATCGCTGTATTTTACAATTTTTATAATTTGCGATTCATAATTTTTAGCATTTTCAATTCAGAATTTTTGTAATTCCCAACTTGGAATTCTTAATTCCCAATTCCCAATTCTTATCTCCCATTTCTCGCTTACTATAATTTCCAATTCGCCATGTTTCTAACTTTCAATATCCAACTTTTGCAGTTTTTAATTCCCAACTTTTTATTTCCATATATTACAAATTTTTTCCTTTTAAAAATTTTGCATCAATACCTCTTCTTCGTCTTTGGTTCCTGTGGATTACTTTCGTCCTCGAACAATCCTCGTACACCGTAAACTGATCGTATATATTCACCTGCAAATTGTTCTCTCAATTTTTCAAAATCATCGAATTTCGACAAATGCCCGGATCCTTGTCTCGTATCTGCAGACGAATTTCAGATGAAATCGATCCAACGAGGTCGTAAGATTTACCGCCACTCTACATGTAAGTTGGACGAGATGGAAGGAGAATAAGGCGAACTCGTCGAGCACTTCTCCACTCTCGAAGAACAATATCCCTTTGGTGCCATCTCACGAGCGACAACTTTCACGAATTTCACAAACATTCGTAACATCAAAGAATCGTGAAGCTGACAGTCGGTTCAAGATGTCGTACGTAAAATACATTGTCTCGGTATCCATGGAAAATATTATAGAAAATTAAGTAATTCTTAACCACGTACTCTTCGCGATCATAGTTGCTCTCGTGTTCGGTCCTGTGCTTTGACGCATTCGTATTTAATTCGAGGGGAAATGGCCGCGTGCTCGCACGCACGGTGTTTACGACGAAAAAGGGAGATTGAGTCGAGATAATTAAAAGCGAAGTGGCGCGAGTCAATTAGTTGTGAAAAACGAAGCTCTCGTGGCAAGAGAGAACGCAGGCCCGCTTCTAACGTGTGCCTCTTTATTAAAAGTCTTTGTGGTGCCGAAGCGGAACTGCACGCAAACTAGCCGACTGCCTTTCAATTTCAATGTATATTTCAAAACCGGTGAAAATTCCACGCTGCTCTGTTGAAAACTCCGTTTAATATTTTAGCGCGCGATGAAGTGATTAGGACTCTGCTGCGAGAATAACATCCATCATTTAGATGAGAGTTTTTATTTTTTGCTATTAACACTGTTTTGTTGATTAATTGTATATATATGCTTGTATATATTACATTGGATATTTTTATCGAATTTTCGCATCCCTCGCGGTGAACAATTTTTGAAAACGTTCATTCGGTTTATAGCTGCGAGTTCTATTAACAAACAAGAATATTTAAAGATTGATTTTATGTTTAGGTGTTGTGTAAAATAATTACTCTGGGATAATGTGGTCTCCTGTGTTCGTCGTTCGAGCTTAAAAAGCTAAATTTAAATACGCCACGAAGCAGAAAATGCGGCTTTCAGTGATCGATCGTACCCGAGACAGATAACACGGAGCCTCTAATTTCTGTCGAGAGAGCAATTTCGCGTGTAGCGTCTTTTTCTAAGTAAAAGTATAACAAATGGTGTTTCGAGATTCGAGAAACTCTACTTACATCAGAATATTAAAGTATTTATACGAGCTAAATTCAGATATCTCGATGAGAAGAGCGTTCAATTTGTATGGATCAATAACATCTTAAGATGCCACTTGTTCTGCAACAATAACCGAGTCGCTTGGTCTCGGAAAGTGAGTCAAGAATTTCTAAAAAAACTGCGCTGTTCGTGTCGAGGGTCGCTAAAAGCTGTACCGAACTGGTTAATAATTAGTCTCTCGTACGCAGCAAGTGTCCTTAGTCTACTCATCCTACTTTTAAGAAACAAAATTCAGTCGCTATAAATTCCAAGGAGTTCAATTTTTAAACTCCAAAGAGTCCAATATTTAGCCTGGTAGTCTATAATATATTTCAAAGTATCATCTTCCAACAGATTATTAAAATATTGAAATATTCACTTCGTACTTAAACGAGAAATTACCTACGAAAGATCCAACCACTCAACGAATCTAATCGACTTAATCGACCATGTTTTTCAACCACGATCTTCGTCAACGAATTACAAATCTCACGCAATCTACGTATTTCATTTGTCCGTGTAAACGATAAATCATTCCAGAGCTCGAAGCATTAACAAAAATTCAAATGCAAATTGGCGAACATCGTTCTTAATCCAGGATCGAGTGGTCACTAGGAACGAAACAAGAATTTACATACAACCATAACCTATCC